GGATTGAACCGCGGTCCCTGTGCTTTGCCAAGCTTGTTCCAAGTAGGTGCTTTAGACCACTGAGCCATCTCTCCAGCCCTCAACAGAATTTTGATAAGAACCTTGTCAGGTCCAGCCTCAAACTCTGAGGACGTAAAGATGAGTGACATAGACACCACTCTTAATGCGACAGCAGCGTCCTGAGGACAGAGGTTGAAAAGACTGCAAATTGGGATGTGACTGCCGCCTGGTAGGCTGGAGGTCAGGGAACAAAGGGAACAGGTGGCAAAACCAGTTTCCTAGGCACCCAGATGAAAGGCAAAACTCACAAAGCGGGGTTTTATCACAGTGGGCAGATTTTACTAAGGAATGCTGAGAAAGCAAACTCAGAAGCAGGGAAAACAAGGGAAACATTTGAATAATTCCATTTTGAGAATATTCTTTTCCCTCTCCATTTAAATAAAAAGGGTGTGTGTGTATGCATGCATGTGCGTGTGTGCGCACATGTTTAGGCATAAATTATGCAGATTATGCTCACAATTTAGACAAACCAAACATGGTGTGGTTGGAGGAAAAATAATACATTCGATACCAGCCAACAACTGTTAGTCATGTCCTGCTGTGAAATTACCCCCTGGATGGGAGTTTTCGGCTATGGCTAACGATCTGTACTTGTTTGTTCTCTGATACAGAAGCCTATTTTCCTGTGTAAATGCTGAAACAAAATCACTAGACACTATCAAGTGCTTGCATGTTAGGGTAATAGATTCTTCAGTGAACCTGGCATGCATGAAGCCCTAGGCTCAGTCCGCAGTAACACACACACACACACACACACACACACACACACACACGCCTATTCATATGAGCTTTATTTCACACAGGTACAGAGACTCTTTGTTTAAAATGCTGAATGGACCATGACACTTTCATTTGCTGCATACTGACCCTAATGTTAAATATAAATACTTAGCCATATTCCAAAGGGGGTGCTCATAAGGTTCTTACCTAAATTCTGACACATGGCTCATCAGTTCTAAGAAAGAGGCCGCTATATTGCAGGGAAGCAGAGGCCTTTTCTGTTTGCTCTATCATTCTGTACTTGCCTTGCAGGCTCTCAAACCTTGGGTTTGTCTTCTTGTTTCTAGGGTCACAGTGACTGCCATGTGCAACATGGACTTCAGCCGGTTTCCGCTGGACACACAGACGTGCTCACTTGAAATCGAGAGCTGTGAGTAGAGTTGTGCCGAGGTGCAGGCACACAACTTCTGAGCAATTCTCGAGGCTTTTTTTTTTTTTTTTTTTTCTGTCTTTTTGAGACAGTGTCTTGCTGTGCAGTTCAGGCTGGCCTTGAGCTCACTTCGTAGCCCAGACTAGTCTTGAACTCAAAGCAATCCTCCTACCTCAGCCTCCCAAATGCTGAGATTACAGATGTGTATCACCACACCCTGCTTGATTCTAAACACCTCTGTCAACATTAGGAACAGTAAGATTCCCTACTCATTTCTGCTTTCAGAAATGATTTTTTAAAAAGATTTTTCTTTTTTTTACATTTATTTAGTGTGTGTGTATGTGTGTGTGTGTGTGTGTGTGTGTGGCCAGCTCAGCCCACCTGGGGGCAGGGCTGGCTGGCAAGTGGTGCTGGGGGATCGAACCGAGGTCCCTGTGCTTTGCCAAGCTTGTTCTAAGTAGGTGCTTTAGACCACTGAGCCATCTCTCCAGCCCCAGAAGTGTTTTTTGTTTTGTTTTGTTTTGTTTTGTTTTGTTTTGCTCCGAATACCTTCAGGGCATGATTGGCTGGCTTGAGTTGTGGGGATCAAACCACAGCAACCTGAGCCTGACTGCATTGTTGAAGCAGCCACTTAAAGAACTGAGCTAAGGGGCAGGCCCCCCTAAAAAGATTTATTTATTTTATTATTATTATTTTATTTAGTACAGGGTCTATAGGGTCTCACTACACAGATCAGACTCGTAGTGATCCTCTTGTTTTCAGCCTCCCAAGCACTGGGATTACGAATGCACACCACTACGCCCAGCCTTAGTCTCCCTCTCAGTGCGCCCCGGAGGCAAGGTCAGCATGGCACTCTGGGGATCGAACCTTTCAGTCTGCTGAGCTATCTGGCCAGCCCAAGGAATGATTTTTTTTTTTTTTTTTTTTTTAAAGTCTAGAGTGTTTTTAAAAGTCAGGGATGAATTTGGATCCAAAATTTTGTAGTCCCACGGTTGATCTTTCTAATATTCTGTGATAACATTTTGAAACCATATTGGACCCAGGAGTTTTCACAGTACTCCAGGACAACTGCTGGAGAGGGGACGCTCATCAATATGTGAAAGTGGATCTCCCTCCAAGCCCTTAGCCACACAGACACACACAGACACACAGACACACAGACACACACACACACACACACACACACACACGAGTCCATCTAGAGAGCTTGTTTCTGCCCTGTTTTATTGCTCTTCTAACTATGGTTTCTGCTGGCGAAGGGAATTTTCTGGCGATAAGAAGTTCAGCAACAATTGTCCTACGGAACAGACAGTGGGCACTGAGTTCATGTGAGAGTGGAGACTGAAGTATAACCAACCGACCTCAGGAAGCTTGCAAGTACATATAAGTCCTAGAAAAGTTTAAAACTATGCTGCATGATACCACAGGCACAGGCAGTAAAACGAGGCAAGTCCGATTTCATGAAAATTTTAATATTTTGTGCATGTGCATCAGAGGATAATATTAGGCAGCGGGGGATGTAGCTCAGTGTTAGAACACTTGCCTAGTACATGCAAAGCCCACAATCACACACACGCGCACGCACACACACACACACACATCACTATCAACAAAGGCAACCCATAAAATGGGAGAAAAGATTTGCAAAATCATATATCTGATAAGGGATTGATAGCTACAATATAGAAGAACTCCTAAATTTTAAGACAAAGTGCTTTAAAAAAAAAAGGGGGGGGGACTGGTGAGATGGCTCAGTGGTCTAAAGCACCTACTTGGAACAAGCTTGGCAAAGCAGGGACCTCAGTTTGATCCCCCAGCACCACATGCCAGCCAGCCCTGCTCCCAGGTGGGCTGAGCTGGCCACACACACACACACACACACACACACACACAAATAAATAAATAAATGTTAAAAAAAATAAATAAAAATAGGAATAAACAATTACATATTTTTTAAAAAAAGGCAAAGGACTCAAACAGATATTTCTCTAAAGAATCCACATGAATGATTAAGAAACACATGAGGAGGGGCTGGTGAGATGGCTCAGTGGTCTAAAGCACCTACTTAGAACAAGCTAAGCTAAGCAAAACAGAGGGACCACAGTTCAATCCCCCAGCACCACATGCCAGCCCGCCCGGCCCCCTGGTGGGCTGAGCTGGCCACACACACACACACACACACACACACAAATAAATAAAAAAAATAATAAAAAAAAAAGAAACACATGAGGAGATGTTCAGCCATCACTAGATATCAGAGAAAGGTATATCAGTAAAACAAGGTGTCTCAGCTACTTTTCTCTTGTTCCTGGGACAAATACCTGACACCCAAAATGAAGGAAGGAAAAGTTTATTTAGCTCACAGTTAGTGGAGGTTTCAGTCCACACTCAGCTGGCTCCAAGGCAGAGCAGCACATGGCAGAGGGCAGCAGTTCATGACAGCAGAAGACAGCAAAGAGCAAAGGGAGGAGTGATAGGAACAATGGCAGCAGGAGAGCAAGTCTCCCTTCTCCTTATATTGCCTTCAGGTTATGTGCCCCAGGCTGGGTGTAGCAGTCAGACCCATAATCCCAGCAGTACTCAGACCCATAATCCCAGCAGTACTCACACACATAATCCCAGCGTTGGATCATGAATTAGTTACTAAGTCTAGAACCTCACCCCATGACTGCATGAGGCTTTGGGAGGACAGCTAGATACAAACCATAACATTCCACCCCTGGGGGCCCCAAAGATTCATGTACACTCTTTTATGCAAAAGGTAATTTAATCCCTCTCTAAGAGTTACCAAAGTCCTAGAGTTTCAACATTTGCTGAAAAGTCCAAGTCCCAAGTCTCTTCCAAGATCCAAGGCAAATTCTTAGCTGTGAGCCCCTGTACAAATGAAAAGTTAAATACTTCCAATATTCAATGGCACAAGAAAAGCATTACCATTCCGAAAGGCACACACAGCAGGATACCAAGCATTGCAACCAAAGCAAGTCCAAAATCCAGAAGGGCAAACAGTAAGTCCTATAGTTCCATGTGGAACATCCAAAGCAATCTGTGGCAAATTGTGAGCTCCATGTGGCTCCGCCCCTGTGGCACTCTTGGTGGTAGCTCCCATGGCTTCTCTCTTAGGCCGGCTTTGCTCCCTCTTTGCAGGTTCCCTTAGATGATCCACGTTCCTGGCTTTTCTAAACTTCTAGGGTTTCCACTGAATAGGCTTCTCTCTCACAGCTTTACACACTGCTCTTTCAGGGGCGCACTGCCTGGCCTCCCAGGCCTTCTTCTGAAATCTAGGTGGAAGCCCTCTTAACCTCAGAACTCCTATGTTCTGAAATCACCTAAAAGCAACACCACATGAATGATGCCAAGGTCTACTGCCAGCTGGAGCAGTAGCCAGTTTTTCTTGTCTCTTGAATATAGGGGTCGAATATTTGGATTGCTAAGCACTCTGACATTAACTCAGAGGAATACATTCTCTATGTCGGCACCATTCTGGAACCTAGAGTGGCTCCCACCACCATTCTGAAACGTGGGATTCTGCAGCTTTCCTCTCAAGGCAAAGTCCATCACCCTTGCAATTCTGAGGTTGAAAAGGGTGGAGACCTGCTGCCTCCTCTGATACTGTTAGGCCATCCTTTCCGTTCTCATTCCTTCTGAGAAATGGAGAGCTTCTCAGCTCTATCTTTGCATTCCACAGCTTTATTGGAACTTCCTTCCTGACCAAACTCACAATATTTTAAATCATCCTGCTGGGCTCTTTGCTCTTGATTCTCAACATAAACCTGACTAAAAAACCCCAATAGCCATGTCATTTCCTCAATATTCGACTGCTTTGACATTTCTTTTGCCAAATGAGTCAGTCCACCATACTTAATCTCAGTCTCAGACAAAGTCTCTGGATATGAGCAAAATTCAGACAAACTTTCTTCCAAGCCATAACACAAATCGTCTGGTGTCCAACAAGCTATGCAATGCAGTCCTTCCCAGCAGAAACGTCTCCAGCCTGGTCTTTATAGTCAGGATTTCTATGAGCCTTCTGGTCTTCTGAGCTCTGACCGGAGTCTCCCATACAGAACACTGAAGCTGTTCCAGTGTTTCTCTTGTAGGCAACATCTCCAAACCTTTCCTCTCTTCCCATAAACCATTTCCAAAAGCTTGTAATCCACATGGTCAGGTTTAGTCACAGCAACAACCCCACTTCTCTGGTACCAAATTCTCATGCACATAAATTCTGTCTCAGTTACTTTTCTCTCATTTCTGGGACAAAATACCCAACACCCAAAATGAAAGAAGAAAAGATTTATTTAGCTCACAGTCTGTGGAGGTTTCAGTCCATATTCAACTGGCTCCAAGGCAGAGTGGCACATGGCAGAGAGCAACCTTTTATGGTGGTGGCAAAGAGCGGAGAGCAAAGGGAGTAGTAGCATCTCAGGCAGCTAGCTGGCCTCTCTCTTCTACTTACATTGTAGTGCAGAGTATCTGCCCAGGGCACTCACACCCATAATCCCAACATAGGGTCAAGAATCAATCACAAACTCCAGAAGCTGCCCCATGACTGCATAAGGCTTTGTGGGGACCACTAGACACAGATCATAACACAAGCTGCTACTTCACAATCATTACAATGGCTACCATTAAAACCAGAAAACAGTGTAGTGAGGCTGTGGAGAACTGGATCACCATGCTGCCAGAATTCTGTGATCTTTGTCATTCAAAGGAGGATGTAACTTGCCTTGGGTGCAGAGCCAAGGCTGAAAGTCAGGCTGAATACCAAATGTGTTGGCTCTGGAGCGTTGTGTTTCCCACATGACCAGGCAGCTTCTGCTCCCATCTGTAATGCAGCTTATTTCAGGCTTCAGCAGTCAACATTCTGCCAGAGAAGCAGAACCAACATATACTTAGTAAGAGACATATTGCAAGGAACTGGCCCCCAGGGTTGTGCGGCCAACTCTGCTCCTGGCCTGTAGAACAAGCCCACCAGGAGGGCAGCCTAAGAACTCTCAGACAGGAGCTGACCCCACAGCCCACAGATGGAAGCTCTTTCAGAGAACCTCCACTCTGCTCTTCACACCTTTCACCTGACTGGCTTGGGCTTCTCTAGATCATCCAGGATAATCTTCTCTCCCTGAGGTCCATCAGTTGGAGATATGAATCACAGCTGCAAAATACCTGCACAGATTAGGGTCTGACTGGATAACTGGCTATGACAGCCCAAGCTGACACGAGAAATCTATCATATAGATCAAGCGTTTGAAAATGGGAACAAAGTATCAGAAAGAATGGTTGCACATGGACAGATGGAGCTGCTGACTCCATTAGGTTTTACCTCAGTTGTATCTAGGCCACGGGTAGGTTTGTGCAACTGGACTAAGAAGTAGACCGAGCACCTCTCAGGATGATTTTACTCAATCTTTATGCAGTTGCTGTTTCTAAAACTTTGTATGGCTGACTGTACATGGATATACAACTTTTAAGTATGCCAAGGTCTTCTAATCAATGGACACACCAGAAGGGAATGGCCGGGGGGAGATGGTAGCACCAGAGAGTTGATGATTGTGAAACCATTTCAGCTTTACGTTGGGTGAGCTGGGGCAAGTGGAGCCCTACAGAAGAACCTTGTTGCACCTCTATTTCTCCATGGATCCTCTCTTGATAGAATGTAGCCCTTATTGCTTGGTAGTGTTTGTAAGTATTTGCCATCCATGAATGAACCTCTATATGTTGTAAAAAGAAAATAAGGGTTAATGACTCCTGTCTTATAAGGCTGAACTATGTGAAAAATTTGCAAATGTTTCATCCTTTCTGATCTATAAAATAGCAATTTCATTTTCTTTAACCTAAAACTTTCAGGCTAAACTGTCGGACTGAGTCCTTTTGCAGGAACCCTGAGCACTTAAGCTTGAGATTTTCTGATGACCTTCAGAAGAGCAGGGAGAATTAGATTTGTCTTCCTGAATTTTGTTTTGCTTCATTTAGAAGGCAGTTTGTGCATTCAAACTATCTTAATGCAATTCCAGTGCAGTTGTTTGTGTGGGAGATCGATATACACGGCTTGCACACAGATCCTGACCCCACTCAGTCCCATCTGGCCTGCCACATGGTGCCTGATGCCGACTCCCACCTTTTCAGATGCCTATACAGAAGATGACCTCATGCTCTACTGGAAGAAAGGCAACGACTCCCTGAAGACGGATGAGCGGATTTCACTCTCCCAGTTCCTTATTCAAGAATTCCACACCACCACCAAGCTAGCTTTCTACAGCAGCACAGGTGAGTGGAGGTGGGGCCAGGCACCTGGGAGGCTTATGTTCATCCTCTATTTCAGGTCAGGAAGGAATTTGTTGTCAAGAGAGCAGAGCCTGTGTCACTTGCATTTGAAACCAAAGATGAGAACCATAGATGAAGCCTAGCATGTGGCAAGCATAGGGTGGGAGTGATATTTTGTAGCTCCAATCCATCAGAAGTGATAACCTAGGAAATATTAGTAAGGACTTAAGTGTCAGCCATGTCAGTAGGTTTATTTGAAGACAATCACATCGACAGCTTGGCAGGTAGATCTCACCCCTGATATACTCACCAGAACCCCTCCCTTATGGCACGAAGAAGTCTAATTTCAATTTGTTGTTCTCCATTCATCTTCTCCCTGCTCTAGCCCGCACCCCTGGGTGTTCCACTGTTATCCAGTCCCTTCAGCTACACTGTCTGCACAGCCCCAGCATAACCCTCTGTTGAGCCTGAGCACAGGAACTCCAGTCATTCCCTGTGAACCTGCTTTCTCCTCTTGGGTCGGGGCAGGTTTGTCAACACTCTGGCTCCTACACACACAGCTTCTGCCTGCTGCCCGAGGGCGTGCTCGGTGGCCTTCCCCCAGGCACCCAGCTGGTGCTACTTAAACTGCACAGGTTAACTCTCTCCACCCATGCCTGTTTTAACCAAGCATCTTTCAGGATGATTTTACCCAATCTTTATGCAGTTTCTGTTGTTAAAACCTTGTATGACTGACTGTACGCAGATGTGCAACCTTTAAGTACGCCAAGGTCTTCTAATCAATGAGAACCACTTTGTGCCAGCCTAGCCTGGCAGTCCCGCGTGTCTTCTGGGTCCACTGCTCAACAGGGCTTGGTTCTTTTGATCCTGAGCCTTCTGATGGCCCCTCCATATTCACTTGCTTGTTCCAAGAGGCATGGCCAATACAAGTAGCTCCTAGGGTGCCAAGCTCCAGGTTAGTGCTGCCGGGCCCCACCTCAGCTCAGTCCTCGGCATCTCAGGCTTATCCCGCCTTTCCTTTTCCTTCCATTATCCTTCCTTTCCTTTTTTATTTATTTATTTATTTATTTAGTGTGTGTGTGGCCAGCTCAGCCCACCAGGGGGCGGGGCTGGCTGGCATGTGGTGCTGGGGGATTGAACCAGGGTCCCTGTGCTTTGCTGAACTTGTTCTAAGTAGGTGCTTTAGACCACTGAGCCATCTCACCAGCCCCCTTCCTTTCCTTTTACCTCCTTCTTTGTATCTTTTTTCCTTGTAAAGAACACAAAGGCAGAGCTGGTTAAGGGATCCTGCACTCTGTACCTAAATGCGATATGCTTAGCTGTAGATCCTAAACATCCCCACCTAAAGAATTCAGCTGATTAAATCAGTGCTTCTCAATCTCTGACACACACACAAATCACGTGGGGAAACCATTAAATAAATTCTGCTTCAGTGGGCTGTGGCTTAGGAATCCAAATTTCTTGCAAGAATCCTGGTGACAGAGAGGGTTCTGGGGCCTAGACCTGACTTTGAATAACACGAGTTTAAGGCTTCCTTTTGTGTGTGTGTGTGTGTGTGTGTGTGTGTGTGTGTGTGTGTTTGGGGGGTAGGTCTCAATGGGTTCACTCAGCATGAGTTTTCATACAACTGTTGGTTCTTTGGCTTTTCCCTTGCACCCTATGACAAGGCTCCAGTGGAATGGCTAAGGCATTTATGATTTTCTAAATAAAATCTCTTTTATGAAGGAGCTGAGTGGCTATGATTTGTGCTATCTTTTCTTATTTGTATCCCGCAGGCTGGTACAATCGCCTCTACATTAATTTCACTTTGCGCCGCCACATCTTCTTCTTCTTGCTCCAAACCTATTTCCCTGCCACCCTGATGGTCATGCTGTCCTGGGTGTCCTTCTGGATTGACCGCAGAGCTGTGCCCGCCAGAGTTCCTTTAGGTAAGGTACATCTCAAGCGTATTCCAAATATGGGGGGGGGGGACCAAAACAGTAATTCCTTACAGATGAAACCATTCTTTCATAATTGATCCTATATTCCTTTTGGCATCCTAACTTGAAAGTTCCCCAAGATATTGATTCACAGGCAGAAACCCCATTATTAAGATGCTACACAGTAAAACCATTTTCAGGTTCCCACAGGTACCCGTCCAAGCAGCTCAGCCTTGTTCTGGTAGAGCTGAGTCTTAGCGTGGAGGACCATGATCTTTGCATGGTCTCTCTGATCATTTGCGTAGTGAATACTATTTTATAATGGGACTTACTTATAAAAAGGTGGTCCAAGGGATCTTAGTCACAGAACCTCAGAGGAAAATGAATAAAAAGAGTCTTGCATCCATCTTATTTGAAGGAATCAAAATCTGAGGGAGGATCAGGAACTTGCATTTTAAAACAAGCTCTCCAAGCTAATTCTTGTACATGCTGCAGTCCAAAAACCCCTCCTCTATCAGCATTCCACTAGAGCATATTGCCATCAATTCTCTCGAGTTCTAAAGGCTGTACTCAATCACACACACCACTCTTGCTCGGGAAGTTCAGGGGCTGCAAGGAAGAGTGTGACCCACGAGGTTTTAGTGCAAATGGATTGGAGCTGGCCTTTGGGGTGACCCCAATCCCCTGTGATGTGGTGTTTGCCAAGCAAATGTTCTGAGCTTAATTTGAAATCCTGGGCAAAATTCCACGAACAGATGCCCTGATTTCTAGCAGTGGTTCTGCTGCTCGAGCAGTCAGTGTGTGAAGGAAATGTGCTATCAAGTTTTTAAATCCATCTCCCATAAATGAAGTTAACACCATCATCATTGGTAAAAATGACCTGTAAGTCCTCAAATCAACACTGCAGGATGGACAGCTGGGTCCACTATGGGAGTGGCTGCCAGAGGTGCTGGACAGGAGGTCTGGACTACAGAACTGCACAACAGTGTCAGGGGCACAATCATTATTTAAAAAACCTCATGTGCTTTCTTCGCTTTGCTTGAGGAGCTGTTACAAGAAACACAGACCTAAAAAAAAAAAAAAAAAAAAAACACAGACCTACTTATATATGTGGGGCTTCCCCCAGAACTGGGAATTGAACCCATGGGTGCCCTACCATGGAGCTATACCCCTATCCCCTTTTGTTTGTTTATTGATTTTTTTGGATTAATTTTGTGTGTACATTATAGATATACATAATGATCACATTCATCAGAGGGAGTTTGTACCTGTCCACTGATTTTTCTTTTTCCCCCAATCCTGTCTTTTCCCTTCCATCCCTTTTTCCCTCCTTATTTACAAAAGCTGAGTTTTCCATTTTCTTCCTTCTATTCTTTTTTGTTCCTTTCTCTTCCTTCCTTTCCCCTGTCCCATCCCTTTTCCTCTTCCCATTTGAACATCCTTTCTTTTTTCTCAGTGTCTATTATACGTTTTGGTTCTTATTTACCCTTTCCGTTTCTCATACCAGAGCACCAATGTGATATTTAAACCTGTGTGTATAATTTATTTCACTTAAGAGTATGCTCTTTTTTTCTTTTCATTCCCCACCTCCAGCTCCCCTTTCTTTGAAAAATTTCTGCCTCTTTCACAATACCTTTTGTACACTTTGGTCCTTATTTACACATTTGATATCACACACCAAGGAAGCGATGCATGATTGGCACTTGTGCCTGATTTATTTCACCTAAGCGTATATGGTCTTAGAGTGCATTCATTTATCTAGAAATGTTTTTGAGTGTACCCTGCTTAGTGGCTGAGTAGTACTCATTGTATAAAATAAACCACATTTTTAAGAAATCCATTCCTTGGGAGATGGGCATTTGGGTTGTTTTCAAGACATAGCTGTGTGATGCTGAATATGTGTTCATATATCTATTTGCCATTTCTAATTCTTTATCTGAGAAGTGTCTTTTCATTTCAGATGCCCATCTTTGGATTGGGCCTTTTAATTTGAGGTTGTGATTTGTTCAATTCTTTATATGTTCTAAATATTAGTGTTTTGTCTGAAGGACAACTGGCTAAAACTTTTTCCTCCTTTGTGGATTGTCTTTTCACTCTGTTGGTGTTTTTTCTAGCTAGGCAAAAGTTTCACTTAATAGGATGAGATCCCGGTTGTTGATTCTCTGTACTTACCATGCGATTGGGGTTTTGTTCATGAATTCTTCGCTTATACCTGTATCTTCAAAAGTTCTACCCACTCTGTCTTCCAGCAGGTTCAGCATTTCTGTATTAATACTTAGATGTTTGGTCCCATTTTAGTTCAGTGCATGGTGAAGCACATGCTCTCGTTTTAGCCCTTTTCAGTTTGGACACAATCTAGCTAAATTGTCCAGCCTGGCCTCAGCCTGGCTTGCCATAGTGTGAGCCGCTCAACTCTGCATTCTTGTTTTTTTTAATTTTTTTAAATGATTGAAAGAGGGCCGAAGGGTCAGGGAGATGGCTCAGTAGAATAAGTGCTTGCCTGGCAAGTGCAAGGGCCTGAGTTCAATCCCTGGTTCCGCAAAAAAAAAAAAAAAAAAAAAAAAAAAAAAAGAGGGCAAGCCAAACAGCTCAGCAGATAAAGCACTTATAAGGAGGTACAGGGGCCGAGAGTTCGATCCCTGGGCTTGCGGTACTGGCCCAGCCCGTAGGGTGCCCTGAGACAGCAATTGAGACAGCGTGGTGGTGCACGCTGTAATCCCAGCTCTTGGGAGGCTGTAAGTAGGCGGATCACTGAGTCCGACCTAGCAGTGAGACCCTGAACACCCTGTAGACCCTTCCCTAAAATATATTAAAAAAAAAAAAAGTTTGAAAAAGTGCCTTATTAAGGGGCTGGGGAGATGGCTCAATAGAATAAGTGCTTGCCTGGCGAGCACAAGGGCCTGAGTTCAATCCAGGTTCTGAAAAAAAAAAGTGCCTCATTGTCAAAATATTTGGGGTTTTCTGTAAGAGGAAAATGTGAATCAACACTACGATGAACATGCATGTGAAAGGGTAGGAGACAGAGAGGTGGTGGTGGGGGAGTAGCGTGCTGTGGAGAGAGGGACATGGAGAATTTCCTCAGAGCAAAATCTTGAAAGGTAAGTAGGTGTTTGCTGGACGTGGGAGCAGGGTAAGGTTTTCTAGGCGGCAGGAGCAATAACGAGAAAGAGACAGACACCAGGACATCTAGAATGTTCGGAGACACAGTGCTTGGTGATTCCTCACTCTGCTTGGCGCAGGCATCACGACGGTGCTGACCATGTCCACCATCATCACGGGCGTGAACGCCTCCATGCCCCGGGTGTCCTACATCAAGGCCGTGGACATCTACCTCTGGGTCAGCTTCGTGTTCGTGTTCCTCTCGGTGCTGGAGTACGCGGCCGTCAACTACCTGACCACGGTGCAGGAGCGGAAGGAGCGCAAGCTGCGGGAGAAGGTGACTTTCCTGAGCGCTGAGCGGGGCAGACTGCGGCCTGGTCCAGTTCTGAGACTGCGGGCAGTGCAGACCCTATAAAGCGGGCCCACACGACCCCTCCTGCACTCACTCCACAAGTTTGCTGTGAAGAGCAAACAAAATGAAGTGAAACACTGTGAAATTGAGGGTAGGCTACATCTTTCATTCACTGAAAAACTTATCTGGCACCTAACATATACCAGGAGTCACTAAGCCAGTTTAACTAAGACACTGTCCTTTCATCCTGGTGCTGTTCAGTTTCACGACAGAATTCCAGAAGAAAAATGACAATTCACGTCATGGAACAAATTGTGCATGAACACAGATGTAGAATGAAAGAATACCTCAGGGATGCACATCCTCCGTGCTGGGAGCTCTTCCTCAGAGGGGACCTCCGACGTCTTTGATCATTTCCCACATTGTCTTCTGCCCATCTGGCTTTCCTTTTTCCTCCAGCCTGCAGCATAGTGATTCTCTCAGGAAAGATCTAACCAGCAGAGTGAGCTAACCCCAGAATGCCCGATCTCTTCCTCTCCCACCCCCATGCCATGCACACAGACTCACACACTAACGTGGTCTTAAACACTTTTATCAATGGCTAGTGTGACTGCCAACTCCTGGAGAACAGGGCCATTAACAAAACCGTATACACTCTTGTTTGTCTCTGGTATGACGTTGTGCAGAGTTTGGTTCAACAAAGATGGCTATGTGCTACATAAGGGTGCGTACAGCGGCGCCACCATTATTTTCCTGCCTCTCCTCCAAAGTGGGAATAAAAGAAACTAGAAAAAGATGACACCCTGCGCCCCGCAGGGGCTTTGGTGGCTGCTGCTGAGCTCCTGTGCCTCTGTGTTTGCTGTTTCCGCAGCTGCCCTGTACCTGCGGGCTACCTCAGCCCCGCGCTGTGATGCTGGATGGCAGCTACAGCGACGGCGACGTGAACGACTTGGGTAACTACATGCCGGATTCCGGGGAGAAGCCCGACAGGATGATGGTGCAGCTGACGCTGGCCTCGGAGCGGAGCTCCCCGCAGAGGAAGAGTCAGAGAAGCAGCTACATGAGCATGCGGATCAACACTCACGCCATTGATAAATACTCCAGGATCATCTTTCCAGCAGCATACATTTTATTCAATCTAATATACTGGTCTATTTTCTCATAGATACTAGTAGTTTGGCAAATTCCACCTTTTTGTGGTATGTATTGCAGAAATACCATATGATGAAACCACTTTAAAGACTGTCTTCCTAAAATCGTTCCCAGCAATGTCTTCGTTATTTCTTCTCCAGCTTTCCAAAACTACATGGCTAAGACACTTGTTACGCTAAGCACCTTTGTACACACAGCATTGTGCGAGGTGCTGTAGCAACTTGACATCACAGCAACTGCTATTATTTCTCAGATCTTCCATGAAAGCTCAGTACCAGTGTTGTGGGCACACTAGGCCGTCCTCTTTTAGATCCTAGGTGCTCAGTCACATGAATGAGTTCCTTCTTACGAGTGTCATCATATTCTTTGAACAAGCTGGATTGCAAAGCACTTGAAGTTCATTTGTGTGGAAACTAGAGGCACTAAATCCTCACTTTAACTGGGCTTCATCCTTCAATTTCCAGCCTACTGCCTATTTTCTTTTCATGTTTAACAAAAGGCAATACTATTTAGTATAATCCATATTTACAAACTGAGGTTCACAAGGTTGAATGTTTTAATGAGAAAAGCCCTTCAGATTGGTGCGATAGGTTCTGACTTGGTGGAGTTTCTCTGGGAGGGAAACACTGACAATAAGTTCATATACACCCATTTTTGTTTTGTGATAGAATTAGGCTAGAAAAGTTGTGTTTGTGTTCCCCTCACATAATCCCTGTCCCGTGCATCTCTGGTTTGGAGCAGGTTCTCATTCTAAATGATGTGGTCTCCTCGCTGACAAACGGGAGGAGACTCGTTTCCTCTGTACAAACAACACTCAAGAAAATAAGTAATTTGTAACTACTCATAAGCCATAAGAAATACCTAGTTTCTTAAAGAGAAAAAGAACACCACAATGCAAAAGAAATGCGAAGACATTGCTGAATGTCTGCATTTATGTTCAGTGGATACCAGCATTTTTGTGAACCAGCAAACAGTCCTATCTAGACCAGTGCAACTGCTATCAGGGTATGGGATAAAAGGGGGGGGTTCTCATTTAATATATTATCTTAAGACAGAGCTTTTCTATGCTGTGTATCTATAAACTCTGTAGATCAACCCCAACCAAATTTATCTAAATAGCATTTCTCATATTTAAAACTCATTTTAATAAAGTGAATTATATGTCCCATAACGTTTTAATTTTAAAGTTAATTTGATCAAACTAAGTAATATAGCATTTTTTCTGCAGGGCTATATTTAATTCTGATTAAAAAAAAACTTTGTTGAGTAAATCCTAATTATAAGACATCCTTCCATTTCCCCAATGAAAGCTCCACTGAGAATATTTTTTTGGCAAACTCAAGTAGTAAACTTAAAGGGATATAGATAAAACCATTAAATGTTAACTTTTGATATTTAAAAATACTTAGAAACATTGCTTTTTCTATTCTTATTTTGTGAAACAATTGCAGTCCAACTCTTCACAGACATCTTTCCACTGTATTTTTTCTTACCAGTGCCACTGAGTTGTGTAGGTTTTCAACACCCCATCTGGGGGCCACAGAGATAGCTCAGTAGAATAAGCACTTGGCTGGCAAATACAAGGGCCTGAGTTCAATCCCTGGTTCCACCGAAAAGAAAAAAAAAAAACATCTGAACTTTCACCTACTTTTTTGGGAACTGTACATTTGAACCAGCGTAAATCATGCTTCATCAGTCTGTTAAACTGATAAAGCAAAGCCACAGCATAGTACCACAGACCACGTGGCTTAAACAGAAGAACTTTATTTTTCCACAGATCTGGTGGCTGAAGTTCGAGATCAGAGACTGCCAGATTTGGTTACTCCAGAAGCTTCTCTCTCCCTGGCTCACAAAGGGCCATGTTCTTGCTTTGTCTTCCACACCCATCTTTGTCCAGATTTCCTCCTTTCCAGGGGCTACCTCAATATCTTCATTTAATCCTAATTACTTTTTTTAAAGATTGTAGGTAATTTTATTGCAAGATGATACATTTTTCAGAGTGAGAGGCTATACTGTCAAGTGAGAGACTATACTGTCAAGTCTGAAGGTGGGAAAGCACGAAGGTGGCATTTGTGTTGACTGAGGTCTCAGGTTATGCTTAGGAAGTTAAGTGAGTCTTTCAAGGGATGTCTTTTCATTCTTCTGGGGTCACTCTTCTTTGACAAGGAAAATGGGCTGCCACTTCCCCCGGCCATTTTCAGAGAGATGGTCCTTGTTTACTCCTTAGTTATTTCCTGTTTAGCTTGAAAGCTTGATGTTTTTCTAATTAATTACTTCTTTAAAGGTCCTATTGGGCTGGTGAGATGGCTCAGTGGTCTAAAGCACCTACTTAGAACAAGCTTAGCAAAGCACAGGGACTGCGGTTCAATCCCCCAGCACCACATGCTGGCCAGCCCCGCCCCCAGGCGGGCTGAGCTGGCCACACACACACACACACACACACACACACAAATAAATAAATAAATAAAATAAATTTAAAAAAAAAATAAAGGTCCTATTTCCAAGCAAGGTCACATTGACAATTAGATCCTGAACATATAAATTTGGTGGAGAAGGAGGGAACACAATTCATTCCATAACAGATGCCTACAGAAATTATCCACCAGCATAGCACTGCATCTCATACACCTTATGCTTACTGCTTATTCTTTACTAAAATGTAACTGCATATCGTTTATTTTAAAACTTATTTATACCAGTAGCTCCACTAATGACTTAGAGGAATTCAAGGATTAAACTCATGCAATTTCTTTGTTTTTTCTAGCTATTTTTTTCTAGCAATTTTTATAAGGATCCGAAGCTTTCATTGGTTGGGAAAATTTTCATGTTAATGTTTTCCCAAGGCTGTACTTTGCTTTCAAAGATCTGTAATTGAACAAGAACTCTGCAATATGACTTGTAAAATCTCAAACATAAACCAAATCTTTTCCAACAGGGATTATCTTGGAGAAAATCTCATCATATACGCAGTCATCTATACTACTTACTCTTTTACTGGGATGAATAGAAAGATCTGGTTAACAATATTATTTGGTACCATATGGCCACACTGAAAAATTAATTTTTAAAGTGAAAATACAGTAAAATATACTTGATTAAAACTATAAAAAATATAATGTAACCTCTGTGTAATAGTTCAGAAAATACTTCAAGATCCCAAGTGTCTTGTGTCATTTTTGTGATAAATGTGGACATAATGATGTGTAGAAATGTTAGCCAGTAGCAAATTGAGGTTTTACTCAAACCAGCTTTTAATTTGTGGCACTTCCTGTGTTATATATTCCTAACCAATGTTCTCTAGTTTTTTCATAATTTGTATAGATATGATGATAGACTTTAGAGAGAATAAAAAATGGTTTCTGCTAGTAACAGTGAAAATTAACATTGTAAATCTAGTTTTACAAAAAGCACTTTCAAGGTAAGCGAAAGCCCCCTAACTCAACGGCTATTCAACTTACTACAGGTAACAAATACTGGCCTGTCATTCATAATACATAAACACTAGTTTAAGAAAATGCTTTTACTAAGAAATTACCTCATTCATTCATTCATTCAAATAATGAATACCTATTATATAGTAGGTGACATTCTAGACCAGCACTTCTCAAACTATTTGTGTTTAAAGGCTAGTTAATACTTTTAAACTTTCAACTGTTAGCTTTCCATCACTGTGATAAGACACTGACATCAATCACCTTTAAGGAAGAAGGCTTATTTTGGCTCAGAGTTTCAGCCAACAGTTACCTGGTTTTACTACTTTTAGGCAGAAATATCATGGAAGAGCATGGCAGAGGGTGTGCTGACCTTGTAGCAGCCAGAAAGGTGGGAGATAAGGGGATGGGAAAAAGCAGAGAGAAGCCAGTGTTATGGGAGCTGGATGCCCCGCAAAGTCTCATGCAGTCAAGGTGTAGGCTTCTATACTTTGTGATTCATGGTGCAATGCTGGGATTATGGGTATGAACGCTACATCCACCCTGGGGCAGGTAGCCTGCATATAAGGGAGGGAAAGAGCCTCGCTTTCTTTCTTTCCTCTTTTTGCTCTTGTTGCTTTTGCTGTTTTCCACCACCATGAACTGTCACCCTTCTGCCCTGCCATGCTGCTTTAGAGCCAGATAATAATGGACTGAAACCTCCACAAACTCTGAACTAAATATACCTTTCCTTTTCTGACTTGGGCGTTGAGTATTTAGTCTCAACAATGAAAAAAAGTGAACAACATGGAATTTGGTACCAGAGAAGTGGGGTTGTTGCTATGACTATACTTGACCATGTGGTTCAAGAGCCATTAGGAATGGCTTGTGGGAAGAGTTAGGAAAGGTTCAGAAATGTTGCCTGAAAAAGTAGCCCTGGAATACCTTAGGCTGCTCTGTATGGGAGATTTTGATCAGAATGCAGAAGACCAGAAGGCTAATAGAAATCCTTCTGGTGAAGACCAGGATCAGGAGGCTTCCGCTGGAAGGATTGTATTGGTTGTTGGACTCTAGGTGATATGAGTTATGGCTTGACAAAAAGTTTGCTCATGTACAGAGACTTTGACTGAGACTAATGTTAAGGAAAGTGGACTAATTAAACTGGCAGAAAAAATTCAAGGCAGTAAAAAATTGAGGTTGTGGCATAGCTATTGTTTGGAGCTTTCAGTCATATCTATGTTGAGAATCAAGAGCAAAGTGACAAAAAAAATAAAAAAAAATTAAAAAAAAGAGCAAAGTGACTAGCAAGATGATTTAAAATGTTGTGAGCCTACTTTGGCAATAATAATACACAATGTACTAACCATTGTTACTCTCCTAAAACCTCGTTTTGAGATTTTGTACCACTGTTTTTATTTTTTTCTTTCTTTCTTTAAAATAAAAATAACTGATGTCAAAATAATAAATAAATAAAAAAAATGTTGTGAACTTGAACAGCAAGGAAGCTTTACTAAAGCTGTGGGCTGCAAAGATAGAGCAAAGGAAAGCTTGATTACTGAGAAGGAATAGAATTAAAAGGATGGCCTGAGGGCATCAGAAAAATCATCAGAATATCCCAAAGTTCGCAGTCTCGCAAAAGTGAACCATAGAACACCATCTTCCAGAATAGTGGTAGCCATACTATGTTCCAGAATGGTGGCAGCAACTGCCAGGTTTCATAGTGGTAGCAGCATAGAAAATTTGTTCCTCAGAATTGGATGCAGTGTTCAGTGATCCAGGCACTCAACCCCTACAGCAAAAAAGGAGAGCCTGGCTACTGCTCCAGCTGGCAGAAGACACTGGCAGCATCCTCACAGCTCTCATTTTAGGTGTATGCAAAATGCAAGAGTTGTGAGGTTAAGAAGGCTTCCACCACAATTTCAGGAGATGTGGTAGGCCACACAACTTACCTTTGAGAGGACAGCGTGTGAAACTGAGTGTGAAGTCAAAGGTGCAGTGGAGACCCCACAAGTTTAGAGAAGCCAAGAACACAGATCATATGAGAAAACCTGCAAAGAGGGAGCAAAGCAGGCTTGAGAGAGCTGTGGGAACTACAACCACCCAAGATGTCATAGGTGTGGAATCATGCAAACCTTTCAGAGTTCAAAACTTGCCACAGATTGCTTCAGATGTTCCACATAGAACTATAGGACTTAATGTTTGGCCTCCTGGATTTTGGTCTTGTGTTGGTTCAGTTCGTTTGTATCCCTGTTTGTAACTTTTGGAATGGAAATGTCTTTCTTGTGTCATTGAATGTTAGAAATGTTTAACTTTCATTTGTACAGGGGCTCATAGGTAAGAGTGCCTTATATCTCAGAGGAGACTTGGGACTTGGACTTTTCAGCAATGCTGAAACTGTTAGGATTTTGGCAACTGTTGGTGATGAACTAAATGCCTTTTGCATCAAGGGATGTGCATGATTCTCTGGGGGGCTAGGGTGAAATATTATGGTTTGTGTCTAGATGCCCTCCTAGGCCTCATGCAAATATGGGGACAGGTACTGGAGTTTGTGTTTGATTGATTGTCCATTCTGGGATTATGGTTATGAGTGCTATACCTGCCCTACAGCAGGTAGCCTGAAAGAAAAAGAGGTGTGGTCTCTCTCTCCTTCTTTTTTTGCTTTTGTTGCTTTTGCTGTCTTCTACTGCCATGAACTGTTGCTTCTCTGATGTGCCACCCTGCCTTGGAGCCAGCTGATTATGGGCTGAAACCTCCACAAATTACGAGCTAAATAAATCTCTCTTTCCTTAATTTTTGGTATTGGGTATTTTGTCTCAGCAATGGCAGAAAAATAACTAAGACAGCCCGAGTCTAGAAAGTCCCCAGGGTTATAGCCCCATGACCCTTCAAGTAGGCCCCTTTTTCAAAGTTTCCATTACCTCCAAACAACATATCAAATTGTGATCTCACCAGTGAATTAATCCACGGATGAAGTTAGAGCCCTCATGATTCAATTACCTTCTACAAGCTCCACCTCTGAACACATGAGACTTTTGGGGGACATTGTTGATAGAAACCATAAAACCAATCCACCAACTTTTTTGTATATTTTAAAAACAAGTGGGGCCTCTTGGCCAGAACTGCCATCTTCCAGTAATTTGCCAAAATGA